GAAGTTTGTTTCTTTTTGAGGGTGGGGGACAGAACCCAGTACAAAATAATTTATGAAGATAGAGACATTTACTATTGAAAATAAATCTATTTTTTGGTAAGCTGGGGAAAAAGAATATACTGTTTTTTCCTTACCAACTAACAGTATGCTTCACTGAAATAACGGGTAGTACTATATCAGGCAAAGAAAAAGAATCTGCTAAATGCCTGAAATTCTAACTTTTGTCCATCTGTAAAACGATTTCACACTAAATAAAAAAAAATTTAAAAATCCAAGGATTTCATAGCATCAAGCTCTTTCACACATGGGCTAAAATTAGGAACTGCCACAAAACTTTCATTTATTGGTATTTATTTCATTGCTTTCCTACACAATCTGAAATAACTATTGGATATTCTAAACACTTTTATATGGCTTTTAAGTCATTAATAGTTTGCATTTAAGATGGCCTCATTTTGGAGGAAGGGAGGAAGGAAGGGAGGAAGGAAGGAGAGAGACATAATTTTCTTTTCCATTTTAGAATGGTGGTTCCATGGCAATGGTTCCGATGGTGGTGATTATTTTTAGTAACAATAACAGTTCCTTCCTCCCTTCCTTCTTTTTTTTCTCCCTCCCTTCCTCCCTTCCTTATTTTTTTTTTTTTAGCCAGCATTCCTCTTTTATGACAACACTTAGAAGGGGTGATATGGGTATGATAATCAAATAGGTTTCATCCTGCCCTCATTCATTAGTAGTGATCATGTTAAATAGTAGCAACACTTTTCTTTCAGTGACTCTAATTATACAAGCCAAAGCTATTCTGAGGCAGCCTGGCAACCAAAGAATCAAGCTACATCCTCTTCTGCACGCGCACACACACACATCCCCTTAAGTGTGTATGCACACATGCAAAAAAGTGGTAACTATATAGAGGTAATGAATGTTAATTCGCTTGATTGTGGTGATCTTTACGCAGTGTATACATATATCAAAACTTCAAATTGTACACCTTAAATATATACAATTTTTATTTGTAAACCATTTTTCAATAATGCTATTTTTTTTAATGTGTGTATGTGTATGTGTTGCAGGGAGACAGGGTATGCAGATGACTTACTTTGAAACTCCCTGCGTGGCTTCTAAGGCCCTAATCATCCGGGTGCTTCCTGTCCCTCCAGAGTTGCATTGCTCTTTGCATTGCTGTGGTGCAGCCATGCTGGCCTGCTGTCCATTTCTTCAGCATGCCAAACCCTTTCCCACCTCATAAGCTTTCACACTTGGTGATCCTCTCTGCCTGGAATACTCCACTCTCCCCTTCAGAGCCTACTTCAAATGGTGCCTCAAACACTTTTCCTTGACCATCCCCTCAGTGGCTCTCTTCAACATTATTTCATAGGAACAATCACTCCTTAATGGTCTTTTTGTTTACTTAACCTTGAATTTGTTTTTCTATTGTCACCCCTAATGAAATGCAGACTCTTTAAAGGCAGGCACATTGTTTCTCTGGGTACTATTAGGTGCTCAATATTTATTGAGTGGATGAGTGGCAGTTTCACCATAAATTTAAGCTTTTCTAAATGTGTGCTTTTGCTTTTTTTGAACCTTTAGGTAAAATGTCTGTTTCCTTCCCAGGGTTGTAGTGGAAAATCAACAGCTGCTGTATATTCTCCTGTTACCATATTGGTCTAGTATTCTAGCAGTAACTGTGGTGTTTATAAGATTTAAAGATTCTATTAGTGACAGGACACAACACACTGATGTTCAGATAGATTAAAGGCAGAATTCTTAGTGACTTACAGCTCCAAACTAGAGAGGGCCCCCAGGCAGGGCCACACAAGAGGTTATATATTATACCTGGGACAGGGCAACAGCAAGCTGTAACCACGGGGGGGGGGGGGGGGGGGCAGCTTGTGTATGGAAATTGGGGTGTAGTTAGCTAGGCTTCATGAGCCCCCGGTGGATTTGTTAATTTGAATAAGTTTTGGTGAGCTCTGGGCTTCAGGGCTGTCCCTCCTTGCCTGGTACCTGGTCCAGGATGATGAGGACGGTACGTAGTGGCCTGGAGTGTGGGAGACCTGTAGCAAAGTAGCTGGGGCCTGGACTTCCTCAGCACTTTTAAGGGAACGGACCAGCCTCTAGCCAGGGCATCAAAACTGGATCAAGGCAGCATTTTTTAAAAGAACTTTATTACACTGTGCTGTTCATCTGTATTTACTGTAGGAATCCTTCTCAAAATCTATATACATTTACTTTTTAACAGATGTTTAGGGACATGGCATTAAGGAAATACTTATGTTTGTATTAGTTTTGTGAATCTGAGCATTTCCCTGTTTGATAGTATAGCGAAGTGCCCTTTAGAAATGAAATTAACATTTCCATGTCATTTTGACCATATATGTTCATTAATACAAATAAAACAATATTTCTCTCTCCTTCCTCCCTCCCTCCGTCTACCTCCCCTCCATCTGTCTCTCTCTCTCTCTGTCTCTGTATATATGTACACATGTGTGTGTGCTAACAAAGAAGGTGACTCTGAGTGCTTTTGACTATGCCCTTTTTAAAAATAGATCTATCACTCACTATTTTAAAGGGTACAATTCAGTGGTTTTTTGGTGTATTCACAACACTGTCGAGCATCACTGCTTACTAATTTCAGAATGTTTTCATCACCCCAAAAAGGTCCTTTGAACCCATTAAGCAGCCACTTAAACCCACTTCTCCCCAGCCCCTGGCAATCTCTGCCTATTCTGGATATTTCATATCAGTGCAATCATACAGTATGAGGCCTTTCGTGTCCGACTTCTTTTTCTTAGCATAATGTTTTCAGTGTTCATTTATATTTTAATATCTATTAGTACCTCGTTTTTTTAAGACAGTTCTATTGTATGAAACATCAGTTTTGTTTATCTGTTTGTCATTTGATGGATGTTTGGGTTGTTTCCACTTATACTGCTATGAATAATCGTATTTTGTAAACGTTTTTTGTAAACATTTTTTCATTTCTTTTGGGCATATACCCAGGAATGAAGTTGCTTGGTCATATGGTAATTACATGCTTAACTTTTTGAGTAACTGACAAACTAGTTTCCGGCAGTGGTTGCACTATTTATGCACCCTTGATTTACTTTTATTGTTATAAAACACTTCATGAGTTCAGCATTTATTTACCCTTTGATCCTACTGTATATAATCTTATCCACATTTTTTACTTCTATCTTGATTAAGCACACACACAAACACACATTATCTAAAAAGCAATCAGACATCTAAACTTTTCACGAGAAGAGGCAGCATGATGTAATGGAAAGCCACCACACTACGAGTCGAAAACCTGCATTTTTTTTTTAATTATGAAATAGAAAACCTGTATTTTAATTCCAGCTTATACTAGTTACCTGTTTGTATTCTGACAAGGCGCTGACCCCAGCTGTTTCTCCGTCTCCTCATGCACGGCACACCTAACATCCCTTCTGCTCTGAAAATGTGATGAGTGCGTTTCCATTTTCTTGGTCCTTTTGCTGTTAGTGCCTGTTGCCCCCAAAGCATCCTCCCTACTCTGCTGGTTGGCCGTTACCATTAGCACATCCCATGTAATTCATCCCTCACATCACAGGACAAAGGTACTCATTTTTCTATCCATGAATACAAAAGAGTGCTATTTCCCACTTCCCTTCTAGCGATAAGAATAAATTCTAACCGGTCCTGCTGGTGGTTGAAAGTGGGGCATCCTATCAGGGCTGTTGGCTGGTTAGGGAAGACTAGTTGGCCCTGAAGGCAGCAAGTGGCGACATGGAATTTCCCAATTCTAGGGAGTTTGGGGGGAAAAAAGAAAGTGCAGCAAATTTCATTGGTAAGGTTATTTGTTTTAAAGTCAAAGTCTTTGTCCTCATAAAAGTGTGGAATTGATTGATGTGAACATGATTAGGTTTTACCAGTCTGTGTTTCATTTGTTGATTTTTAAGCTTTCTTTTTCTCAGTCACATACACACAAATGATGCTTTCAAATTTTTGGTGCTATAGCTTTTAAAGATTAAGTGTATAACTTTGAAGGCAGGTTATAAGTGAAACTTTCTATACATTTTAAAGCAACTTCATATTGTAAAACTTTGAATTTACCTCCTACCAAGGAGAGTCAAAAGAGATTATTATGTTGCCCTGGGTTCTTTGAAGACAGAATGTTCTTAAGGCTTTTCCCTTTACTTATTTATTCATAAATCTCCTGTGTTAATTTATAATTATTTTCCTGATGAAGTAATTATAAAGTTTATAGTTTTAGAGTTTTTGAGGTACCGAGCTAAAATTCTAGAAATGGCCCTTCTGTCTAGGAACTTTACTGAAACCTGAGAGTGATTCCTAGGGCTAAACTGATGATATCTAGCTGTGTTAAATCTGTATTATTAAAGTTCTAATGTAAAGATGCAGCATAAGCTTAGCCCTGATAGTCTTTATTACATTCATTTTTATATTCAGTATTTAACCTTTATGGGTAAGGCATTCTGGCAAAATACATTATTCTATTTAAATACGAATTGGACACTTTAGTTATGTTTCAAATATTCGTGGGCAAATATCTAACAGGCAGTATAACATTTTCATGTATTGATTTTGCTACATTTGTTCTAGGTTGGTTCTTACTTGAAATCTCCAAAATTCCCTATTTGGATTGTTGGCAGTGAAACTCACCTCACCGTATTTTTTGCCAAGGTATGCTTATAGCAGGCTTTATTCCTTTTTTTGTTTGTTTTTTTTTAGTATGACACTAGGCAGTCAAGTAATGTAAGTCCATATTTAGATTGGATCTTTGTGCAAACTTCAGTGTATTCCCACCAACAAGTGGATTGTTCCAAATTCTAAAATATTAATACTGAACATATTGTTATACTGCTCTAGTTTTGGAATCATTTCAATAAAATCTGTCGTGACTTAGTTCTAATTTCCATACCTTTTTCGACTTTAGAGCTTTGACTTTTGTGGGGGGTTTTCAAAATCACTTGTATTATGATAAAAATAATTGAATTTAAAAGCTTTGGATTGCTCTTTTGTAAAGAAGATAAAATCTCAGCTACATGATATAAAATAATTTTAGTTACATCTCCTAGGAAAATATTTTAAAATCTGTTAATAGATTAATGGTATTGAAGTCAAGTGCTCTTTTAAGATGGAATATTTCTTACAATTTGAACATACGAGTATACATGGTTACAACATTGAAATAAGTGCATTTGAATATGTTTGTTTTAAAATTGTGACAACAAAACCTTTTCTAAATCACAGCCTTTAACCATACACACACACACATTTTTTTTTCCTGCAGTTGAGTAGTTCAGACCTTTGGAGTCAGACAGCCTTTGTTGGAAATCCAGCTTCGCCACTTCCTAACATCACTCAGCCTCTTTTCCTACATCTTTTTTTATTTTTATTTATTTTTTTTTTAGCTGAGCCATCCTGCCACCTGTTGGTAGCTCAGCGGCTTCTCAGCTCAGGCTGGGAATCGAACCAGTGACCCTGTTGCTCAGAGCTCACACTCTTGAGTGAGCTCTTAACCAACTGAGCCACTCGGCCAGCCCTTCCTACATCTTTAAAATGGTGATTAATCATAGTACCTAGCTCTTAGAATTGTTATCAGGCTTAAATACAAAATATTTAGCAATACTATTACAAGTTAAATGTCCAGTAAATCTTAGCTTTTGTCATCATCATCATTGTCATTTTCATTATTCTGTAGGCATTTATGGAGCAATGTCAATTGAGCTCTGTAAATATGCAGACATTTTATATCCAAGCATCTAAATGTTAGGTAGGTCGATACAGTCCTGGGAGTGAATAATCCCCACCTTCCTATGAAATACACACTTGTTTCCTACCTGTCCTGGTATTTTTTGTTGTTCTCATAGCACTTGGTCCATTGTTCCTTTGCCCACAATGCATATTTCCTGTTCCCCTCACTGTTTTTTGTATGTCCCGTGGTCAGCAGGGAGCCTTGTCCAGGACAGGAGTACTCTCATGTATCTTCTTATCCCTGGACCTCAACCACATGCAATGAAATGTTGAATAAGAAACGCAAAGTACATAGAAACACAAAAACTCCTGCAACACCAGCTGTAGACCTGATCAAACAAACTCAGTGTATGCTATGTCAGTCAGACAAGGTTTTTCAATCTGTCTTCATTTATTTGCATCACTGAAGCTACTAATAATCCTGATGGGGAAATGCACACACACATAAAGTGATTCTAGAGAATTTTATAGTGCGTTTTAGGTCCTTCAGCTATTATAAATCTTATAAACCATATATATCAAGTACCTTATCTGTCTTGTAAAACTCTTACAATGATACTAATTGTTATTCTGATATTTACCTTTGTATTCTCCGGAACTGGTATGTAGTTTGGCACATAGTATAGGGGAGTCGTTAGTTTAATGACTAAAGCCTTTGTGTGAGTTTTCCACACTTGGGCTTTAGTGACATTTATATCTTCTAAAATATTTCTTTATGACTCGTTCTGAAGCTCCTTAAAAGCATGGGTATTTCCTTTTCAGTGTATTTTAGAACAATTGATTTGGATTGTTTGGACATGTTATCTTTATAAAGAGTTGCAGGTCAAAAATTTTTTCCCTTTGAAATAAAATAATATAAAGCCAGAAGATCACACATAATGGTAAATGCAATTGATAATACTTGATAACATTCATTAGGTCCAGTTTTAATTTTTTCTAAATATAGTAGTTTTTTGTAGTCTTTGCCAAATAGAAAATACTATAAATTGTGCTTTTTTTTTTTTTTACATTAAACAAAATCTAATTCTTTGTTTGATATTTCTAGATGTTAGCAAGTAATTTTGGCTGTGGGCTGCTTTTTTTTTTTTGAGTTTTGCTTTATTTGTTCTTAGTGGGTTTGTTTACTTTATGTTCCATGGCCTGAAACAAATGACATTGTTTTTTTCTCCAGCAGCTTAATGTAAATGTTGTCTTTCTCTCTAAAGCTGTTATGTTTGTCTAGATATGTATTTCATGTGCTCATTTCTTTGTACTGATTATGATTAAGTAAAAAAGCATGTTTTAAGGTTATACTTCTCAAGGCAATATGTAATTTGACATTGTAAAATGCCTTTGAAAAGCAATAGAATTTGTCATGTGACTTATACACTGCAGGTGACAATAGTTACAGCTGTCTTCTTTCATGTATATACTCATTTGTCAAATATTTACTGAGCATTTAGTAGTATGTACTGACATTACGCCAGGTGCTGTGAACACAGTGGTGAGCAAAAATAGATAGGGCTCTTATATTTAGGGCGGTGTACATCCTAATGGGGCAGGCGTTCATCAAAGACTCCATTTAGAAAATTACAACTGTGATGAGTGCTGAGAAAACACAGGTCTATAAAGCCATAAGAATTTGTCCTAGTTTTGGAAGATTAGGAATGTTTCCTTGAAGAACAGATGTCTAAAATGAGCACTGCGACATCAGATTAAACTGTGGGAAGAGGGAGAAAAGAATATTCCCTACAAGGGAAACAGAGCAAACAAAGAGCTGTGGAAGGAAGGACTCCGGTGTGAAGAAACCGACAGAAGACGCAGGGCACTAAGAATTCCAGGGCCTGGTGTAAGATGAGGCTGCAAAAGTCGGCAGGCCATGTGACTCTACTCTGAGAGTAATGACAGCTCCTCGACTTTTTAAAAATGGTAGGTGGGAGTAGTTTTGGGGGAGATGGGAAGGAAAGCAACAGGATTAAATTTGCATGTTGAAAAGATCACTCTGGCTAATTGTGGAGAACAGACATGTTGAAGGATAGCCTAGGGAGTGGGTAAACAAGACTTCCGTGGTGTTGCAGATAAGCAAAGAATATAGTTTGGTCCAGGGTAATGACGGTGGTGATGGATAGAAGCACATAAAGTTGAGAGATTTATTCCTGAGTTAAACTGGCAGGACTTGGTGATACGTTGGGTTGGATAGTTAAGAGTTAGAAAGGTCTGATGAGATTTGTATGTGTTTTTACTGGTTAGATCTTGGAGCTCAAAAAGAGCTCAGTAGCTTTGCTGTTGTAGAATCTACCCATGTTTTATTTCTCTTTGAGCAAATTGGAAAGAGTGAGATAACTACAGTTTGGGAACTGCCCAGCCAAATAACCCCACGGTGAGGTTTACAAGTGCTGCCCACAAAAGTAATGCTTTTTAGTTTCTCAAATATTAGACTACCAAGACTCACCAGACATTTGCGGAATGCTTATATGAAAAACAAGTCAGAACAAACAGGGGAAAAGGAACTCAAAAGAATGGAGACAATGCAGGACAGCATAGGATCAAAAGAACTTAAAAGCTGTAAGAGAAGTTGATAGATCCATGAAACTGTGGAGGCTACCAGGGGCAAAAGAGAAACTGAAAGAATTGGAAGACAAATTAAAGAAATCTCTCTCCTAGATTGTTGCAGTAGCTTCCTAACTGATGACGATGCTGTTGCCCTTTGTGGGGCTGTAGTGACTTCTCATGTCAGCAACTAAAGTGACCCATCGCTTCATGTCTGTCTTCTGCTCAAAACCTGAATTTGGTTCCCTCTCCTAGGCCCTCTCTAGGAATCCCACCTGATTCCCTGTTGTCTCGCTAATCTCATTTCCTACTATTCCGCTTCCTATCTTTCTTGGTCACACTGGCCTTTCCTCTGCCACAAAACTGGGGCAACCCCTTTGCACCAGCTGTTCCCTTTACTTAAAATGATCCTGCCTCAGATATCTGATAAAGGAGTCCCTCCTTCCTTCAGGTCAGTATTTAATGTCATCTCCTTAGTGAGGTCTTCCCTGGCCACCAACCCCTTTCCCTTCCCTCTTTTCATTAACACTCTCTCTCTCCTCTCT